CTCTCCCCGTCTCCACAGGCTGGGCTATTTAGTATCGCATTAAGCTCCAAAGCGGCCTCCTGAGCGTCCTTCCCTTGATTGCTCTGCCTTTCCCCTCTAGTTTTTTTTCTTTTTCATTTCACTCCTCCACCAGCGGTTCTCAACCTGTGGGTCGCGACCCCTTTGGCGGTCCAACGACCCTTTCACAGGGGTCGCCTAAGTCCATCCTGCATATCAGATATTTACATGACGATTCATAACAGTAGCAGCATGACAGTTATGAAATAGCCACGAAAATAATTTTATGGTTGGGTCACCACATGAGGAACTGTATCTAAAGGGCCAGAAGGTTGAGAACCACTGCTAGAGTAAGTGACCCCCGCCTAACGCTAAGGTCCGCCTTTAGGCGTTGCAGGCTGGAGCCTGTGTACGGGGTGGGGGAGGGGGTTGGGGGGTACAGTTGGGGGCAGTCACTGTGACTGCACGAACGTCTTCCCACAACAGGTCCCTTTTCCTGATGGGTCCTAAGGCCGAGCACCTCTCTCTCTCCTCGACGGGGGACTTGGTCGGAAGCACCTCCTGTGGAGTCACAGCAGCTGCGGGGTTCGGGGTTCCAGGGCAGGGGTGAATCCGGGCGTCGGGGAGCGCACGTGGCCCCAGCTGTGGGCCCTAGTTCGGTGAGTAGGGGTCAGGCGGCGGCACTCACGAGGCTCCGGGAACAAGCCCGCGAGCCCTGAGCCAGGTGAACCTCGTCCCGCGGAACCTGGCGGGGCCTCTGAGGGGAGCCGAACACGGCTGCGGCGGCCGCCCGAACCCGTCAGAAGTCCTTCACGTTTACTTCGAAAGTGAAATGTTTGGTCAAAAAGGCGGACCTCTTCTCACAAAAGGTGAGGGAGTTTCGTACTCGTCACCAGAAAACGGCTTCCAGGGAACCAACAACTGGTACACTCACCGGAAAGCAGCCGCCCGGAGGGAACTCGACTGGGAAGGAGGAGCCTGTGGGACAAGAAAGCGGCCGCGCGCGGAGTTTGCGCAGCCGCAGTAGAAGCCGCACG